TAGAAATAAAAATAAGGACTGTGTGAGTGAATTTGATTTGTGAAAATTTCTGCAGAGCTTGTTCACTCCCTGCAAAAGTGGGAACGAGCATCTCTGAGCAGGTCGTGTTTGCACATGTTTTGGTGAGACAGTGTGAATTTATTTGGGGGAAATTATCGGTTTTCTGTGCAAATCTCACTGTAAAAAACAAGTACCAACACTGTCAGCCCCCTAAAGCTAAAGTGAAGTCATCCTCTCTCTGCAGGGAGTCAGTTTCAGCCACGCCACAGTTTTTTTATGAGGAATGTTAAACTCATCAGGAAACTTCCACCTCTGCATGACCTGGAAATATTATATCTGAGTGTATGTTCTGAAAATAAGACTTTGACGTTACAGATTTTATCATCAGGGATTAAGTAAGTCTCAGCTGTGGCTCATGAGAACATATTTCAGCAGACTCAGGAGTAGAAAATTACCGGATGAGAGATTATTTTATCTTCAGATGAACTTCTCCTGCACAAACAGAAACATTTTAAAGGTGTTCTCATCCTGCTCATCATTTAAAGATACAAAACAAGAGCGAAGAGCAAAACTCAAAGTCTTCAAAAGCAGAGGACAGAAAATACGATCAGGATACGAACTTCAACAACGTCCTCGCTGACCTCCACCCTAAATTGTTTTGCTCTGTCTCCATCTCCCTGCGAGTTTGCGCTCCTCTCACACGCTCCGGATCATATTCCCCTCCTTCATTTAACTGATTTATGAAGTTTGATGATTTTATCTGCCAGCTGTGAAAAGGTGTGTGCTAAATCTACAGATTTAGTCCGTCAAGTTTCTGACACATCGTGAAGAAATGCGAGTTTAATCAGGAAGTTATTGTTGCACTGTTGGGAAAATCGTAATCCAGTTCCATGAAGAAGATTTTGATCTGTTAATGAAATTCAAACACTCTGGATGAAACCTTCCTACGTGACAGCCATCGGGACTCGGCGTGAAATAAAACAGCTGTGTGATGGGATCCGGTTTCCGTGCGCGCTTCAGAGAAAATCTGGGTCTTGTTTTGATGTTGCTGAGTGAGGCCGCGCTGTCTGTTCTGACATCATTCAGCTCCAGATTGAAATGTTTACGTGTTAACACCTCATATTGTATCAAACAGTCCACTGCACATTTAGCACCATCTGTGCAGAAACACACCGTCTCTCCTCTTTTCAAATCAGCTGTCAGACAGTTTCAACAATTTATCTAGCGTGGAAAAACCTTCAAAACATCACCGCCATTAAATCGTATGTTGACGTATGTTTATCATCATCATGCTGAGTGTGTGTCAGTCAAAGTCTAGTTCACAATAAAAGTAAATATTTACAGTGAGAGTGAAGGGGCTCTGTCTGCACAGGCTGCAAGTTGGCATTTAAAGACACGCAAACAACCCGTTTTCGCACAAGTTTGGGTCATTTTCTAGAGCTTTCTTTAGAAGAAGGAACACACAGACTTTTTATATCTGCAGTCCAAGGGCCTGATCCACTAACTTGATAGCGTACGCAAACCTGATCTACTAACTGGGTGCACCGAGGATTGCGTCTGTCAAATTAGCGAAACAGTGCAGACAATCGATTTAGCGTGTTTGTCTTCATGAATATGCAGAATGTTTGTAGATCATCAGATTGCACAAAATTCTGGGAGGAGCAGATGCAAATGGAATCATTTGGCACCCTCAATAGGGTTTATCAAACCCTGAAACCGATTGCGGTCGCTGTTTTGTGTCTATATTTACCACGTTTGAACTGGAGCAGCATTACGCACGGTCATTGTGGAGAGGAGGAGGCAGAAGTGCCACGATACACGCCATGATCCTCGTCCAGAAGCTTGTGATTTATTTCGTTTTTCCGGTAAATGATGATTTTCATAAATAAGGTCAAACATGCAACAGACAAAAACATGTATCTGTTTCCGTTTTAATCGCATTTTTGATTTCTAGTATATCTTCTTGCATCTGTAAAGCACTTTGAATTGTCTTGTGTATGAATTGTGCTGTTAACAAAACTTCCCTTCCCTTTTATGCAGTTTCACAAAACGATATGTACAACTCCACTCTGCTCTCACAAACTCTCCATCCTCCTTTAAAGAGGGCAAAACAAACTGCTGCGAGAAACGGTACAAAGGAGCTGACTTGTCTCACTACTTGAGCAATTAGTCGAAGATTTTAGGGATTGAAAAAAAAAAATACAAATGAGTTTTGGAAAAAGTTTTCAGGCCCAGAAGGGGAGAAAAAATTCCACTGACAGATTTTCTTGTAAAGTTTTTTGCTTTTGTGCATTTTCAATTCTTAAATTTCTGCTGTTCCTGAATTTGCAGCTTGTTATTTCTGACTCGTATCTTTGGGGTTTGTTTGCTTTTACCAGCAGATATTAAAAAAGAGAGAGAGAGAAGTGTAAGAACAGCATGAAGTCAGAATATTTGAACTAAGACCAGGATCAGTGAAGGGAGCGACAGTTACACCCACATTTACAAGCGACAAGTCAATATTCTGAACACGTGCAGATCATACTTGAATAAGAAGAGGAGGTTTGCATCAGTCAGATGGTAAATTGAGGCAGTCAGGTGTGCTTTAGGATCAGATCTCAGCAGGTGTCCATGCTGACTGTGCAAAAAGCCAGCTCAGCAAGTTTACAGCAGCTGTTGTCATTCTGCATATCCATGTACGTTTACAGGAGCTGAACGTACAGAGCCAAAAACAAGACTATGCATCGAACAATGTGGTCCATAAACCCTGTGATTAGCATTGTATTTGCTTTACCAAACCTTACCTACACACCTAACTACTCCTCCTCCAGCATCTCACATTTATCAGCTCCAACTCCACCATACAAACTTTGGATTCGGTAGTTATGGCATCTTGTGCACAAGCAAACAGGGAATGTTGCAGAACCTGAGACCCGGTGATATGACTAACATAGAAATTGCTCTTTCAATTCATGTTTTGCAGGATGATGCATGCACTTTCAAATGTTCAGAAGCTCAAACCAGACTTAAAGGGATATTCCAGCATAAAATTAAGTTAGGGTCAAACACACTGTAACACCGAGTTAGACACCCGCTCCAGAGATGAATGTTGCCGACCACTTGCTTCTCTAGTTATACCAACTTTAGTAATGACCGCAGATAGAAATACACAGAGCCACGCGCTCAACCAAAACGCCACTCTATAGCCACAAATAATGCTCAGAACAGCACCTAACTTCATCAACTGGACATATAGGGTCACAGACATAGTACTAGACACCAAACATCTTTTTAACTTTGACCAATTTCTTTAGAAAAGAGACTAAACACAACTCACCTACTCTCTTCCAGCAGCCGCTTGTTTGTAGTGAGACCTCAGGCCAGTCCGTTACGGACTACAGCGGGGTGCCGCAGCTCAAGGAAGAACATTTATGATAATTTCTTTATCATTTTCTTGAAGCAGCTGCTGGAAGAGAGTAGGTGAGTTGTGTTTAGTCTCTTTGCTAAAGAAATTAAGCCAAGTCTGTTTGACCCAAAATTAATTTTACGCCGGTATACCCCTTTAACTTTTACTCTTCCTACCAAAATAATCTCACTAACAGTTTTTAGTTCCTTCCTGCATCAAGTGTCATCAGATTGCGGAGCATGTTTGCACAAACTTTAAGTCTGATTGTTAATAACTGGGTTAACTCATTGACCTCCACAGAGCTCACTCGTTGATGCTGAAGTGAACTCCTGCATCAGAACAGCTTTTGGACTCTCTGTTATGAAACCGGCCTCATGCTGCCATTTTTCAGATCACTGCTCTGCCTCTCAGTGTTCCCCTGTTTCACAAACTGAAAGCTTTAGTCAATTTTCTTTGAAATTACTGCAGCAGATTGTCAGCTATTTGCAGGACACCTGTCCACTTTTGACACAATAAACTGCTCCTTTTTTTTCTTTCTTTCTGCGCGGACAGTGACAACCGGCTCAGCTTTATCAGAAAAAAAATAAGTGTTTCAGACATGCCAATTTCACACGACGCAGACGTTTCTCTCTCCCAGGAGCAAATCTAGTGTCACTGTGCTTGTTGTGGAGGTAACACAAGATCATCACACACTTACTGTGTCTGCCTGTCTGTCTGATCGTCTGCTGGCACTCCTCTCTATCTCTTAGCATGCCTGACTACCGGCTGGCTCCTGCAGTAAATAAGCACCCAAACAACACAAGCAGCTCCTCCCTCCCACCACACACACACACACCCTGCTACGCCTCCATGCCTGCCAGGAGGACTTTTTTTGTTCTGTGATGCATGCCGTCACTCTACCCTGTTATTACCTCTGACTGTAATAGGCACCTCTGTTCCCAATCAAGTTTTTACTTTCTGCCGGTGAAAAGCAAACGGTTTTTGCAGCAGACACATTTTATTCCTCTCACACACACACACACACACTCACGCACACGCAGCAGTAATGTCTGTCGGTGTCGTCTACGTTGGCTGCGGGCCGAGCTCGCCCAGATTGTTCACACAGCACTTTTTAGCACTCATAAAGGCTCGCCGCGTTGCCAGAACGCTGTCAGAGCGTTCAAACGGAGCGCCGTGTTGTTTATTGTCTGCAGCAGGATGGATGGTAGGTGGTCTGTCTGTGCTCACACTCCTGATCTTCACTGGAGAACAATGAGTGTTTGTGCACAGACAGGACAGCAGATTGATAAGAGGTGGACTTGCAAAAAAGGAGGAAGGCGGCGGCGGGGGGGGGGGGGGATTCATTTAACCCTTTAGAAACTGTCCTCCAGGAGACGATGCATGAAAAATAAAAACTGCAAACGCATAAGACTGGAATGTTTTTGCAGATAAGAGCTGCAACTGTCATGTTTTGCACAGAAAAGGGAGAAGCTGTGGAGATGTGTCTGCAGGAGATCATGAATCCAAAACAGAGTAATGGTAGCTTGAGCGTTATTTTAAAAAATGCACTTCAAACAACCTGCATGAGCAAGGAGCAAAAGTCGGTCTACGTATAATCCAAGAAAAGACCAAGGCCATGACCATCGCACAACATCAACACCTTCCACCACTCACCAACGGCGAGCAAGACATAGAGTACGTGGAGAACTTCGCATACCTCAGAAGCAACATCTCAAATACTGGAGACGTGGAGAAAGACGTTCAGACCAGAACTGGCAAAGCTGCAGGCGTCTTCCAACGACTCTGGAACATCTGGTCGTCGAAATCTGCCTCTATATATCAGTGACCTACGCCTGTGAGACGTGGACAAAGACAGCCAGCATCGCCAATAAGTTGGATGTCTTCCATCGACGGTGCCTTAGATCCATCCTAAAGACATCATGGAGAGACCACATCACCAATGAAGAGATGATGAGAAGGGCAGGTGTAGCACCCTCATCTGACATCGGCTCTGACTGGAGAAAGAGAATGACCGGATATGTACTCCGACTGCCAAGAGAGAGAGACCGGCAAGTGTGGCGATAGAGGGAGGCCAAAGAAGACATGGAGACAAACAGCCAAGGAAGACCTGAGAGAGATGGGAGTCAGCTGGTATCGAGCAAGAAGGGTCGCTAGGGACCGGAGCAAATGGAGGAGACTCATTGCCCAATGGTTCAATAGGAACAGGAGGAACTAAGTCTAAGTCGAAGGAAGTAAAGATAAAATAATGTGTTCAGAAATCAAACATGTCCTCTGTGATCTGTTTTCCATCACAGCTCCTGCATGACTTTTCCATTTTCTTTGTTTTCTTCACACAGGTTTTCACTTTTCCTGCTGTTGCCTGTCCCTCTCCGGCACGTCGAGGTGCTAGACATCGTTGTTTACATGAATCTGTCGATCTCTCTGCGAGCTTTTTTATGACGCTGTTTGACAATGCACTCACGGATGGGGAGAAAAAAGTGGAGTCGGCTGAGGTAATCAGACGGGGACGGGGAGGGAACGAGAGCGGAGTCACCCTGCAATTGTCTCTCAGTTTTCTCCCTCTGTCATCTTCGCCGCCACATACCTACGCTCAAAAAAAAAAAACACCTCATACCATCCAGAGCAGCTCCAAGTCCTGTGATGTAAGTCTGCTTCTACCAGACCTACCCTGGATAAAAGTATCATCAAAAGTGAGGGTTGAAGAAAGATATTCCAGTTTCAATTTCAGCCAAAAAAGAGAAAAATCATTGAGACTCATTTCAAACCTGCAGAAGTGTGAACAAATAAGTAAAATCACGATGATTTATTGAATCCACGAGTCTCTGAAATTAATCAAACTGCAACAAACTCCAACTTAAAACCAACTTCTTACTTTTTATCAGCGCACTATGTTTTTGAAAAATGGATTCATACTCATATTTTCATTGCCTGTTTACGTCCATGTGTCGTTTAAGGTGGAAGAGACTTTAGGTAATCCACTTTGGGAGCGCTGCCGAGACTTCAAATTCATTTAAAAAGCAGAAAGAGCGTTAAAGGAGAGTCCAGGGTCCTGCTGACTCGTGTCTCAAATCCTCGTTGTTCGTATCAGACTCCAAAAAGGACTCTGCGACAAGTCCTCATGAAGATTCGTGGACTGACTGAGTGGGACCTTTTGGATTCGATCGATTTTTCACCACAGACTCTGACTGATCCCGTCTACGGTGTCTGGAGATTTATAAATGATCTGGGGTTGATGTGCAGACTCTCATCGAGCCAGGGTGGGATCCAACAAACTCAGAAACACCTGTGACCGACCTGCTGTCAGTCAAACTAACCTAAACTAACTGAACATCTTGGAGCATAAGTTTAGCATCTCTGTGACTGTTTGAGGTTCTTCTGTTAAAGTTTGAGTTCATCCTAAAATAGTTCCTTCGTTTGTATTTACTGTAAAAGCAAAACTCTTCCACGGCTTCTCTTCAGACGTCCTGTCCAGAACTGTTGCTGCACAAGACGGCGTGCAAACAGGCCTGCAGGTGAAAACATGTCCACCTTTAACGTGTTCCAATAGAATCTAACAAAAACACCACAACTAGTGTTGTTTCATTCGCGAACGATGCGTTCAAAAGAACTGAATCTTTTGAGATTGATTCGTTCGTTTCTCACTTCAGTTGAGCTGAACCAGAACCCTCCAAGTCATCATGAACGCGGTCAACACTCTGAATCCTGGACTCTTCTTCTCTGAAACTCACAAGAGCTTGACGAATACTGGAAGGATGTATCGCGGCTGATAGGACCCAAAACTTAAGCTTCATTTCCACAGTCTCCAAAAGTCTGAAAGCTTTAAACACTGAAGATTTTCCAAACTGGAATGGGGTCACCGGCATTTCCCAGAGTATCTTCTGGAGGCTTTAAAACACGGCGGCAGTGTGGATGCAGAAAGTGTTGAAGAAATGTTGAAGAGAGATGGTTATTGTTTCCTGCTTTCTCTGTCCGTCTCACTGAAATGAGATTAAACGGGAATTCAAGGATGCCTCTGTGAACGCAGCTTTGTGGTTTTCAGATTCTCCTTCTGAATAAAAAAGGACAACAGATTCGGCGAGGTTATTACAGTCAGCTCCTGCGAAGTTACTGAGACTCCAAATACATCTGTCCAACAAATAAACAAACAAGAAAACACTCTTTTCAGACATATTCTGTGGTGTGATATTGCTGCCATTGTAGCAGAGAGGGTAATGTGACCCTAAACTAGATATCTACTGTAACACACAGACAGCGGAATAAGACTGCGGAGGCTACAACTGTACAAGCAACACATCCAAACAGACTGAGGGCAAAGTGAGAGAAGTGGAGAGCGAGTCTGAAAACGTGTGCATCCATCTGTGTGTGCTCGCTGGAGAGAAAAAAAAAAAACTTGGAGGCCTCTGGTGTGACTGGATTGGAGGCCAGTTTGACCTATATTCCATTAAACCGCCCACTCTGGCTGTGTTCGGTATTGGCAGACTCGGCCGCGGCTCGCAGAGTGCCCGAGAGTGAAAGCTGTGATTAAGCTGCTGCTGCAGTCGGACAGGCGGAGAAAGTGATGGCGAGATAAAGCACATCATAATCAATACTGTCATCTTTCCCCATCATGCATTCACTCTTGGGTTTCTCTGAGTGCTGCACAAAGTGCTGCTGTCTCCCCAAGTCCTTCGTTAAGACTCAAATTGTCTTGTCTGTCACCGTTCGCACTTGAGCGTCTTTTGTCTTTGTGTTTTTGGAGACGCGCTCTGACTCCTTTTCGAGTGTCAGCGGATGATTGCTCACCTGGATGGGTCGAACGTTTGTTTTGTTAGCGCTGAGTCGTCAACCCCCATCGTGTGGCGCCGCGGATGATGTCAGCCAGCCTTCTTCTTTTTGACTGCGCGCTCACGGTAAATCATAACGGCGTGTCAGAGGAGGATGACTCTGCAGAGAAGTAAAAGTTTACTCTGAAAGTCTGAAATTAGCCGAGCAGCAGGTCTCTGAGATACCGCCCACATCTGTCTGTCTGCTGCTCTGCTCACTGGAGGGGAAACGAGTCAAAGATCGTCTTCTAAGAGAGACAAAGGAGTGAAGATGTAGAGCTTGAAAATACACTCACAAAAAAGTTTTTTAAAACTCAACAACAATTATCAAACTGGGTCAGTGTGTTGCAAGTGGACGGGAAGATTCATTTACAAATAAGAAATAAATGATCTCTGAGAAAAGGGATTGGGATGAAGTGTTTAATCATCCTGCGCTTCCAAGTGATTAGATTCCTAAGAATTGTTTGTCTGCCTCCTTAACGAACTTTACAGCATGGCGTTGAGGCAAAAGCACTTTAGAGTTTGGTTCCATTTCACGCGAAAAGATAATACCAGGTCTGCTTGCAACACTTGCAAAGCTTTAATTTCGTCAAAGGGGGGAAATAATTCTGTCCACCCAGTATGCAATTTATTTGCAAAAGTGTAACATGTTTGATACGCTACTTTGTGAAGGTGAGACTGGTACAGGCAAAAGTAGGAGCAGAGCTAACATCTCAGCGTCATCTGAAGGTAACGTTGAAAGCAATATTCCGGTGTAACATTAATTTAGGGTCAAACACACCGTAACACCGAGTTAGACACCCCCTCAAGAGATGAATGTTACCGACCAATTGCATCTCTAGCTATACCAACTTTAGTAACGACAGAGAGCCACGTGCTCAACCAAAACGCCACTCTATAGCCACAAATAATGCTCAGAACAGCACCTAACTTCATCAACAGGACATATAGGGTCACAGACATAGTACTAGACACCAAACATCTTTTTAACTTTGACTCATTTCTTTAACAAAGAGACTAAACACAACTCACCCCTGCAGCGGGTTGAGGCAGCCTAAGGAAGAACATTTATGATCATTTCTTTATCATTTCCTTGAAGTAATAATCATCATATTAATCATTTTTCACTAGTTCTTCTGCCTTAGCGTCTCGGTCTGATTATATTTCAATGAAGAAATGATCATAAATGTTCTTCCTTGAGCTGCGTCACCCTTTAACTCCTCCAGGTCCTGTCTGTTGTGTAGATGTTAGCACCATGTTAACCCCCTTTCACTTTATAAATCCTCTCCATCTCCCTGAATTACATTTAGATGACAATGACTGCCAGAGTCATGCTAGCTCAGAGGCTGCAGCAGGTAGCTCTCACACACCTTTAGCAGCTCCTTTCATCGAGGCAGGGAAGAGTAAGATAACAGAGGTGAAGACAAACAAATGTCACCAAACGTATGAATGTAAAAAAAAAGCCACAGAGAATAAATGAAGTTAGTTTGTCTCTAATTTACACATTCAGACAGAAGCTGAATGAACTTTTGAAAAGACTCGCTCCTGCAGCAGCCTCTGGTAAACCGCAGAGAAATTCACCGTGACATAAATTCAATAACGCTGCAGTCGAAACATCCTCTCCTCCTTCATCTCCTCTCTTCCTCCTCCCTCATGTCCTGCACGACACATATCTGCTCCTTCATTCCTGCCTACCCAGAATGCCTCTGGGCAGTCACATGTTATTTCTACGTTCTCAGGACTTGTCGGACCGGTTTGTGTAGCGCGTCTGTACATTGTTCACATACATGTGCGTTCACATCTGCGGACTCGACGTCGGTACACAGTGTTTATTGAATGTGAAACTGAACTCTCTCTCCTCCCTCCTCTGCCTCACATTCCTCTCAGCGCCGAGTACACAAACCTGACATCTGTTCACCGCATCTCTGTTGATGTTTACATCTGCATTTGAAGTGAATATTTGTACGAGCAGGCCCCATAAACAGTAGCACTCTTGTATATTATGTCCCATGGTCGCTGTGTT